AGATGGCAGCTGGGATCCTAATCATTTGGATCTGAGATGGCCCAGCCAGATTCTAGTAATTACGACCCTACCAGCATCTCCTGCTATGACTGGAGCTGGGATCTAGGATGGTGATTCATTCCCTTGAGCTCTGATGCGTTCACTCTGTGGCCCTTTATAATGCTGGCAAAGAAAAACTCTGAGCCTTTAACTCTGGCTGATGGGGTTTTTTTTTTTTGTGATTTTGTGAGGTTTAATTTGATTTATTAAAATGTGATATTGAAAGGTTTGTGAAAGAACACGTTCATTTCTCAGTGTGATTGGAATGGAGCAAGTAGCAGTAGTGATTGTGTGGTAGTTTCGATATTAATGCAATTATCCAAAGCCCCCACCACAACTGAACACGAGTAAAATCACCCACCACAAATCCCTTTGACAAAAACATATCCATATTAATTATTATTTATTTTTATATTTTAAAAAGTATTTTAAAAAAAATTAAATTTTTTTATTTTAAATTAATATTTTTTATATTATCAGATTATTTTGATACTTTAAAGTCAAAAATATTTTTTTAAAAATAAAAAAATCACTTTAGTACAATAATAAATAAAAAATATTTTTAAAAACAATTATAATCATACTTTCATACATGAATCTTTTTAAATTTTAATTTTTCTTTTATTTAAAATTATTTATATATATATATTACATTATTTTAATATATTTTTTGAAAATAAAAAATATTATTTTAATATATTTTTAAATGAAAAGATATTTTAAAAAATAATCCTCTATCATATCATGTATATATCCAGAACACCAACGTAATTCCTATCTATCCATGTTATCCATGTTGTGTCGGGGCCATTGAATTTAAGCAATGGATCAGAACTAATTAAATGGTACCACACTAGGACATCCTATAATGGAGAGGCTACTTAGGCCTACATTTTGCCCCTTTTCAGAACAGGGAAATCAATAAAACTCCCTCTCTCCATCCCTATAGCGTGCTGTCATAATCTTCTCGGAGTTAAAGTAAAAAAAACCGGGGCCAAAATCCATAGCCTATCACCAATCGGGTTCGGTTTCACGGGGTCATTGAGAAGCAATTCTTTCCTTCGCTAACTAGGTGGCTATAGGCAATTATGAGTAGCACATAAAGCATGCAAATAGGTATAATATTATAAACTATCGTAACTCCATTGATACTTTGACAGTGATTTGATTCACTAATAAGTTCACTTTGTTGTTATCCAATGCTCTCTCTCTCTCTTTTTTGACATTTCTCCTAAGGGTACTTTTTTTGGGTGGCGTCTCCATTCTACAAATGGCTCAACAAAATCCGAAAATGGCGGTCAATTATTTTTGCTACATGGAGCACAACGTTCTGTTTTTTTTGTTTTTTTTTTTCTTCTGGGGGTGGAACTCTCTGCCTTGTTGAGGATGCCCTAAATACAAAGAACAAGCCATGTGGATATGTTTGGTTGACTAAAGCTTAATTTTAATGCTAAACCTGCTCTCGTGTATCTCAGCTAAATGACTCGTTGATCCTTCAAGCCAAGGGGAGACGGGATGATTTGGATGTGTTGTGTCCATGTATACCTTTGCATTAAGAATTTATGCGTCGAATCCATAGCTGAGATCGAGGGCTTGAAGCTCAGCCAAGTTCAATGTCATTTAAACAGAAGCAGAACATGCCCTTAACAGCAACTGCTTGCATGATTGATTGCGTATCGATTATCTTAGTCATTTGTTGAAAATGATCACTCATTAGGGTCAAGGCACCCATTATGGAAGTAGATGGTGGGAAATAAAAAATCATGATTGCACCAAGAATTTCTCTAACCAATCTCTTTATCAGAACTTTAATTGCAACCAACATTGCTAACCACTCCACTCCCTAGCTACACGCTGAATACTTTATGCCATGTAGAATAATTATTATACATCTGCCTAACTACTAATACATGCCACTCATTGAAGGGAAGTTGTCTTCGTTTCTTGCTAACTTTGCCATCCTTCTGCTTCTAAATTTGCAAACATAATTGCAGAAGGATGGTCTGTTTTAACTCTTTCAGATAAGTAATTCAAGGAATGGGCTCTGCATTTGGAGCCAGGCGATGGGTTTTGAACAGATAAATGTCGTCATTGATACGGGCAAATCTGCACCTCGTGAATGATAGGATTTTCATTTTAGTATCTCGGTGTCACTTCGCTTATGGAATTGTTCTTCAAAGTAAATGTTTCTAAGAGAAAATTTTGATCTGATGAATGCATATCCGTGTCTGAGATATATGCAGGTCATGGGTTTCGATCAGAAAATGCCCATGCTGATAATTTGTGATCATTTGTCGTGAAGTCTCAAAAATTCAAATAGTCTAGCAACACAGCTTTTGAGTTAGATAAGTAATTAATTAACTGATACTAAAAATCCCATCAATTTTTCTTATCCAATAGCTTATATCTGATAGGTTAAGATGATCTATGATTAACACTTATAAAAGATTCTCTTTTATAGAAGAAGGAAATTACAAATATTTAAGGAAGTATCTTTTTATAAATAAAAATCCATCTTTATTGGAACATGTATGTGTTATAGGAAATTTATATTTGTAAAAAAATCTTTATCTAATGAATTTTTTTATAAAACATATTAATAAAATCTCTATTGTGATACACTCCAGTTAACCATATAATATTTCCTTCCAAGTAAGTGTTTGGTGATATGCCCTAAGATGCATGCACAAAGTTAAATGAAGAGAAGTTAAGAGGTCACTAGACTCTGCTCAAATCACCAACAGGTTGCCCTAAGATTCATCTGTCGATTTTCAGAAAATTCAAAAAGTTCCTGATATTATCATCAATGTCACCAAGTGGTTCACACGTGACATAACCAGTTGAAAAGAGAGCACTTGTCACCATATTATGACCCTAAGATCAAATTTTGGATGATTAGAGATTTGATCCAACTAGTTTAATCAGTATCGAGTCTAATGGTGACATATGACTTGTATTAACTGCAGAGTGATCGAGAAGGCTACTACTTTATCAGAAGACAAAAGCGAAGTCTGTGCAAGGTGAATAAATGTCAAAAGACTCGTATTATAATAGAATATTATCCACATTATCTTCTAAATGCAAACAATAAGGGTAGGGTCCCACCTTAAAGGATGTTGAAATTAACATTATTTAATGATAGACTAGTATTCAGTGACAGATACACTTTCAGGTTTCATGTTATGATCATGGATGACCAGGTACTTGTTGAGATTGAAAAGGAAAGGTGGTGCTGTTGCTCTTCTGGTGCTAATAATGCATCCCACTCTAGATTAAAAAAAAATGTTGACAATGTTACTCAAGCAATGAAAAGAAGTGGAGCACAAAGATTCTCAGCTATAATGAGTCATGTTACTTGATTATAGTAGATTTTTAACCTGATTAGTTCCCCTGTAGAGAGGATAAAGTAACAGATTCTTCGAAGAGTCGAGTTGCTTTCTAAGCTCTCAATGTTTTCGTCTCCGCACTTCAGGAAAAATGGATTTTATATGTCTCATCTCAACTTTCTTCCAGGGAAGAGGGCATCACTGGGAACAAAAGTTGCAGCAGCAGAGGTCTGACTGCCATTTAAATTTCCAGGCATTGCAGTCAGACTGTAGAAAGCTTCATGCACGAGTAGACCTAGCACTTGCCTAAAGGAGAATTGAACTATGAGCGATTTCACTTTTGCATGTCAAGTAGAAATAGGCAGACTAGCACCTACTACCAGAGTTTGAAGCCCGAATCGGAATTCATGTTACTACAACTGGTTAAGGCTTTTCCACAGGACAAGGTTGTCAGGCTAATTACCCAGTTTGTTCAAAGCTGTTAAGGAAGATTTATTAGAGTCGAAGATGGTGAGATACAAATGTAAAACAGCTCCCCGATAATTTGGCACTGATGTTGGAACATCTAAGACTCCCTTGCGATCATCCTTTACAATTTCTATGGAGTGAATTATTGTCTCAATTAGCAACTGACACGCGTTACTTGCCCAATTCCCCATCAAACAGCCTCAATGTAATCCTGTTCAAGTAGCTATTTCACTTGATTTGAGAGGAGAGCGTACCTCAGGGAAAAGAATACTTTTTCCATGAATTTAGACGGAATCTGCTTCCCTCCTAGCTTTTCATCACTGACAAATTTCCCTAACTCGTCTTGGGCCCTTGTATGAAAGACATTGTGCAGGCTATGGTGTCTTTAATCGTATTACACAGAGACAACTATTATTGGATCTTGTCGAATTTTGTTTCATCCCATCACTTTCCAATCCTCGGGACAACTTCTCTGCATGAACATGAAGATTATGAAATTACTTTCGGAATCTTTTTGTACTGCAGTTATAGCTGGAATTCATTACACGGATATTAGATTTGGCTTTATCTGGATCTTCATCTTCATCTTCAGCGTCAACTTCATAGGCTTGTTCATCTATCATGAGGGTAGCCAAGAAACCACGCAAGCAACTAGTTTTCTCAGCAGGTTAAAGTCAGTAACTTCCATGCACCAACACTCTTCTTATTCTAAGAGCTAGTTTCGTACATGCCCAGTAAAATGTGGCACCAGCCCTTTCCCTCAGGCCAATAACTTGCATCTCGGGCTCCCTGCCATCCAAAGCCTCTTCACTGTTCTTGCTGTCACACATGCATTATTCTGATCAAAAACATCAATAATGCAGCCCTGTCAACTGACAATCACATGCCTACGACGAGTACTTTCCGACAAAAGGATCTACAGGACAGACAATATCTCATTTGTTTATGCACACTACTAATGAAACCACCACTTAAATTATATTTGACATCATCATAAGGGTGTGATTTCCTCCCCCATCATCTCCAACTATTAGAGAACCTTGTGAAAAGATAATCATTCCTCTAGCACGCTAAATTCTTGCTTTCCATTGCGTTGATAAGAATGACACAGAATATCACTCAGCCCGCCATTAACGAATATAAAAGCAAGCTCAGTGGACAGATTACTTGGATAAGGTCTTTTACCATACTCCATTCAACACAAACTGACAGTAGAGATTGACAAATCCAGTTCAAATAAAATTTAAAAAAAAAAAAGATCAACAAACAATGCACTTTACAAACTAAAGTCCTGTACGAAACAGGAAACGATCCAGACTCTCGAAGCATAGAATTGCAGTTGCACTCCCAAATGCAGGTCTTTGCAGATTTATAATTTTAACAGACTAAACAGATAATTTTCTTGAAACAGAAACATAAACGTACTAAGATAAAAACCGCAGGTAATCATGATCTTTCTACCCTTTCCAGCACCTTATCATATCCCTTGCACCCCCACCTGAAACCTGACTCCTGCTCCCCTTACTAATTTCCCAAATTCAACACTCAAAGGCTGCTGGATGGATAGCACAAATCATGCGAACAGCTGGCTAATTCCTGTTTTTGCATTTCTCCATGGCCCTTGGGGCTGCAATAAAAATAAACACTTGTATGCAATTAGCTTGAGAAAAGAAATTTTATACGACGTAATTGGTAGGGTTTAACACTCAAATCCTTAACAAGAATCACGGTAAATTACAAGCAAGCATAAAATTAGGCTCAGCCGGCACAAGCTAGGATCCACTTCAAAAACATTGGTTCACAAAAACATTTTAGGGCATCAGGAATTATTGTTAGATAAATAACTTGCAAAAAATGAATCGGGTCGGTTTGTGTAGCACAATTTCAGAATATTTAATAAGTAAAATTCGTACCTGTAAAGCACAAAATCTGTTTCTGACATTTTACATATAAACCAGCATGGTATAAAGTAAAAAATGATCTTCAAAGACTGATAAAAGGTGCATAAGCAATCACAATTTTAAAAGTTATTAATAATATTGATTTCAGAAATATGGATAACATTGTGAACTGAGACCAACAGCTAGTATTTGTACTACCAATGTAATAAAATTCCTTGTGGTCAACAGTTCCATTTTTTAACGGGGCTCCAAGTCTTAATTTTCTAGCACTAATTTCAGCGTAATTCAGCATAACATTTAATGCAGAAATTACAAGGTCAAAATCGAAGTTAATAACGAGTCATGTCTGACCCCTTGCACTCACCCCACCAAAACAACAGACCAGACTGTATTGTTGAATTACATCCACAACAAAATATAAGGATCTATATAAGATCATTACATCCACAACAAAATATAAGGATCTATGATCTTAAGACAAGCCCAGGATTACAACTTTTCCACCAATATGTGTTTTGTCCTCTTTTGTTTCATGTTGGGGCGACTTTCTACTAGGTGAGATTTGAAAAAACAAATTTCATCAGAGAAGTATTTTTTAAAGCACACTTGATTTGTCTAGGACAAGTTCTACAGTCAAATCATGAATGGCTTATATAATTCTCAAGACAAAACATTTCAATGGTTCTTATACACTCTATTAGTCAGAACAGTAGTAAAATTGGCTTGAGATTACATAACAAACGCACCTAGGCCAATGGCATCAGAGCTCTTCATGATCCTCAGCCTCTTGCATGTTTCAATAAACATCCTGAACAGGTAGGCAGACAGAATTAGAATGCAGGTTTATCAAGCAACTTACATTAAGAATATTTCTTGCTATTACATGATCATGAATTGAGCTTGTTAATATTGCTTGGCAGATGAACAATGTAAGAAGTTATATTCAAATTTCATCCTTTCATATATGATCCAGTCAATTTTTTGCAAATATAAAGAGAAGTTTGAATGAAACCACAGTTTATGACCATGAATGTAGATCAATGAAGATCGGTTCATGTCAATTCGCAATCTTTACTCACTCAAGTTCCCAGTTGTTCCCTGATTTAATTTCAAAATTGAAGTACAGCAGGGACATGGCAAAGGTATAAACAGTTTTGACCAAGGTCAATATCACAACTAGGCAAAAAAATTGATTTAACCCTCATGCAAGTGTCGTCATGGTGGGGGCAGGGGCGGGGTAGTTTGGGTGGCTATACAGAATAGAGTTTCTGTTTCCTTGCACTAAATCCCAGCTACTTCCTAGAGCTATTTAATATGAAAGATCAGTTCATTCTTGTTCATATAAAAATAATATGGTTAGCAATGGCTAAAGATTTCAGATATTATTGAAGTCAACAACAAGAACCAATTTCGATTGAGGCAAACAAGCAAAACCGGTCAGCACTTACTCCCAGGGAACATCGCCAACAAGCATCCAGTCTCCGTCTTTATCCTCATAAGTGAGAACATATTCTGAGCCATGCAGCAGATCCTTCAGCTTGCTCTCGCTCAGCATCTCCCTTCCTGGAGCTCCATGGGATCCATATTGGCCTGACATCATAACAGAGTAGCAATAACTCGATCCATAAACAAACATAACACGTGTCCACTGTAAAATACTAGCTCAACACTTAATATAATAAAAATGTCCAACCACCACATTCTACATATCAAATCAAAAATTTTATTTTGCTCACCTATGGTGAAACAGCTGAACATCTTCTCGAGGGCAGAAGACAATTCCTGATATGCAGAGTAGTTTCTCAAATCCACTTTTCTAAGATAAGGAGCACCATCCATGCTGACTTTGATAAATAAAGCACCTGGCCCTGCTTTACCATCAACTTCTTCTGTGTTCTTTGAGGTGGTGGCAAGGGAATTCTTCCTAAATGATTTGATGGGTGGCCAACCCACAACTTGTGCCCTGCCAAAAGAAGGGATAGCAGGGATTATTCTCAATGTCTTGCAGTTAATCTTATGTCTTGACACAAAAACACTTCATACTTTGGAGCAGGTGCACTGCTGTTGTTTGCGGAGCTGTTATGAAGTGGTCTGGTCTCATTTGCCGCATGAGGTCTCTCTTGTCCTGCCTTTGGGGCTGCTATCTCTTTCACTTTAGCTTGTTGAACTCCAGGGTTCTCCAACATGCCAGGTTTCATTCCCATGTTCGGTGAGGGCCTGGGTGAGAGCATTGCATTTACCTCCGAATTTGACAGAAACTTGCTCTGCAACACAGATGAATACTTTCCAAGTTAGAATCATGAGTAAATATCATTCTATTCCCTTCAGTAAATAAAAAGGCAGCTTTTTTCACCTCTGAAAACTCATCCATGGCATCAGAGAACACTCTCTTGTTACCCGAAACAACATTTTTCTGTGTTGAGGTGTAGTGACCATCAATTGAGGGATGCAAAGGGAAGAAGGGTTTCTCATCAAGTAATGCCGAGCTCAACAGGGAAAGCTCGTGATGCCTTTCTGGAGACTGAGACCCAGGAAGCCCAAGCCGCAATTCAGTAGCCTTCAGATTTAAACTAGTCTTTCTTTCATTGGATGCTGCAGAGACTGCCGAGCTGTCCACGGAAGAACAATCAGACAGACCCATATAGTTACGCTCTTTCAATTCCAAACCATTCAGGCATGCACTTTCTGCAGAGACCGGAGAAGACAGTAGAGTGACATTACTTTGACCCTCCTCCTCCACAACACCAAGTAGTGGTGGAGACATCAGAATTAAGAATAAAAACACTCGGAATTCTTTTTGTTACCTGCTCAGTTTCACAGCACAGAAACTTCATTAACAAACACCAATGTTTGGATATTCATCAAACAAAATCATATCGGCGAAAACAAAACCTCAAATCTCTTTAAATAGAGAACAAGTAAATAGCAAAAAATTCATCAACCGCTGGCTGCCTGCCCTCAGGAAGCAAACAATATAACAAGCACATGGTGGTTGATTAATACTGAAATTTCCCTAATTCAATCAAGCATCCGTTGGATGATAAATTATTCTCGGTCAAAGGGCCACACTTAAAGCAATAAGCACAAGTAAAATCACACAATTTGCAAAGATAAAATAAAACCAGGCGTGATGCTTACAGTCGAAGCAATTTTAGCTACTTTCTAAAACACATCAAGATCTAAACACAAATTTTTTAAAAACTAAAAATAAAAATTGCGAAAGCAAGTATCCAATAACACTAAAAATCTTAATAAATGTAAATATATATATATATATTAAAAACTAAACTTGAATTAATTAATTAGCAGCAGAAGTAAAAACACCTTCCTGAGTTAAAACGGGCTAAAATAAAATAAAAGGAAAATACCTTCCTGAGTCAAAACGAGCTAAAATAAAATAAAAATAAACTTACGGCATGTTATAAACGGGGAAAAAAAAAAGAGGCTGCATAACCATTTACAACTGTAGAGATCTAATCTAACGTTAATGAATAAATCCATTTTCCGACTGAAGAATTTACTAGAGGAAAAGGATGAGGAATAAAACACATTTTGAACTTGAAATAACTGCAGTCAAGTAAAAGTAGTGCATGCTTAATAAACCACGCCTCAAATAACTCGCTGTTTTTTTTTCAAGAAAGAACAAAAAGGATAGATAAATCTTGTTTGGATGCCGAGAAAGTATGAAAAAAAATAGAAACAAAAATTTTAAGCTGCCGCGAGACAGTCTCCATGCAACTATTGAGCTGAAAAACCTACTCTTGAAATGGGTTATCCCAGTACGGAAACTAAAAACAGCAAAAAGATTGCAGCATTTGTTTCAGTAACAAACAAACAGTGTCCAGCAAAAGCCAGAACGCAGAAAGATGAGAGCGCAAAAATAAGAGATAAAAAGAAAAAACGTGTGCAAATTAAAAAAAAAAATCAGAAACAGATCAAGAAAGGGCGCTGAGTAATTTGTTTACCTGTGACTTGGATTTGTGGATTTGTAGCAGGAGAAGAGAAGTGAAGATTTCAATTGTGAGGGTTTTGTTTCTGTTTTAGAAGCAGAGAGAGAGAGAGAGAGCGTTTGGAAAGAGAAGTAGCGGAGGGGGGAAGAAGGAGAGAGAGAGTTAAGGATCCTCCATTTTGGCACAAAGTAACAAAAGCTTATTTGCTGTCTGGTGTGAAACTCTATGCATTAAAATAAGAACCTTTTAGTTTCTTTATTTTTATTTTTATTAAAAGCAAAAACCTTTTTTTAGAAAGCAAAAAAAAACACCCTTCCTTTTGTTACTCTTTTTATATTTTTTTCGCCTTTCTGTCTTCCTTTTTTTTAATTGGATGATAACAATGTTTGTTTATTATGTATTTATTTATTTATCTGTTCATAAATGTAATAATCGGCCGAATAATTATGAATGAGAGAGAATCGTGTATTTTAATTTTAGTGGCTGGTGATTGGAGATGGTTGAATGGAAACCGTTGATCCGCTCGAGGGTAGATTTGGTAGTTTGCTGTGAGTGGATGGAAGCCCTTTTTGTGCCCCCCTATGAAGTAAGATTAAACCTTTTTTTTTGTAAAAACTCTTAAAAAAACTGCTTTAAGATTTATTTATTTTGTATTTTTGTATTATTTTAATATGTTAGGATTAAAAATATATATATTATTTTAATATATTTAAAAAAAAACCAATTTCAAAAACAAACTGTCATGCTTGCAGATAGCCCTGGAGTGATGGATTGAGCGATTGTTTCTCCTCGGGCAACCAATTTCCATTGTATTTGACGCAGCGATTGAAATTTAGGAAGGAGATAATTAACAAATAAGGTGAATGGGTGTGGTAAAATAGTTTTTTTTTACAATTGATACACAGCGGGCGGTTTTATTTTTACATTAAAAAAAATGAAAAAATGCCAGAAAGTAAAAAAGTTGATGAAAGATGGCTGAAATGTTCTTAAAATATTTAATTAATAACATGTTGAATGAAATATTTAAAACAATTATTAAGATACCTGGATATGTAATTGATACAGGTCAGTCATGGTTAGTGTATTAAACCCGTAATATAGAATATAAGATGGTGATGTAACTATAGAATTCGTGCAGAGAAAACATAAAGTCAAATTACAATGTACCAACATTAAAGTTTGAAATAGAATAAAAACATAGAATGAAAAAAATAATTAAAAAAGTAATTCTAGAAAACTTATATCAATGACAGGCATAGCGATGCAGGCTGGGGTAAATATTTTAAAAGCATGAAGAAAATGTCAAGGAGATACTAGGATAATATTCCAAAATAACATGAAAGAAACAAAAGATAAGTTCAATTATTTTAATAGTGTGTGTGTATATATATATATATATATAAAAGCAACCCTGTTTTAACAGCATAAAAAACAAAAAAAAAGGTAGATTTTTTAAATTTAAGTTAATATTTCAAAATCATAGCTTGTAAGATATTGTACTTGTACTTAATTAAAAATGCTATTTTACAATTAATTTAATATCAAAAAATAAAATTATAAAATAGATAATATTACAATATGTGAAATATCATACCAGAATTTAATAAAAAATATTAATTTCTAATAAATTTAATATTAAAAAAATCAATTAAACCTGGTTGAAAAAAAATAAAGGATGATAAAATTGTAAAAAGAAATTAATTTTATAAATCATCTAAAATAAAAAATAAAAAAATAAAAATTAAATATAAAAAAAAATACATAGATAATATCTGATTTTTAAATGACAGGTAAGATAATTTTTTAATACTAAAATCCACAGCAATCCAGGGTATATCTACCATACTTTTGTCGCGTGGTTTAAAGTTATTTATTCATGTGTAATTATGGGAAGTTTGATTTTTTGAAAATATTTATATCAAGGTTTTGTCTGATAATGCTAGTGTTTATGTTTTAAAATGCTTTTAAAAGGTGTTTTTGGTTTTAAAAAACATTATATTAGTATTTTTTTTAATGCTTTATGATAATTTTAATGTGTTAATATAAAAAAAATTATTGTATTTTTCAGTGAAATATATTTTAAAAACCATCATGTATATTTTACAAAATAAAACACACACTAAATGTAAGTTTTAATGGAATCAAATACATAAATAATTGAACATATCCTCCATTATATTTGAAAAACTAGCTGTGAGAGTAGATGTGTGTCGAATCCTTGTTTTTAATATAGTGTAATTTAATTTACATTTAAAAAATATTTTTAATTAAAAATATATTAAAATATATTCTTTTATATAATTACATTAAAATTATATAAAAAAACAAAATAAACATCAATCTAATGCTTCTTAAAGTTAAAAATAGTATGTAAAATAAATTGGATACAGGATCAAACACTTTATTTGCATAGGAGCAATGGATATTAAATTTTTTTTTGACCAGTGCTCTTGCTGCGTGTCATGTAAAACATGAAAGGGCGTGACTTAAATGGTAAATCTAACCTAATTTTATTTCTAGTATTTTAACATTTTTTAGGTATTTTAACAATTTATGGGTATTTTTAGTTAATGATTTGTTTTGGGGGTGTTTAAAGGGTAATGATGAAATGTTTTTGGGTTAAAATAACTTAAAAATTAGAATTTCAAGATAAAAATATACTGACTTCATTTTTCATCCACTATTACGGTAGATAAAGTCCAACTCCAGTTGGGATCACAAATAACACCAAAACTGTCTTAAAAGCTAACATGTCATCTATGTAATTTTTTTTTTATTACTAATAAATAAAATAAACCGAGCTAGCCATGCAAGCCTGGTTTTGAAAGCCCACCCTCACACTTGCGCCTTTCCTTGCCATTACTTAGACATGTTAAGGTTTTTATTTTTTGAGTTTTTAAACACATATCACAAACTTAAAAGAAAATAATTATTTAGCTCATTAAGTTCACGACTTGTATCATAAGTTTGATAAATTAAACCATAAATCTAAAGTTATTTTTTGGAATTTACATATCGATTAATATTACTCACCTTTGTAAATTTTTTTACGTGTATTTAATTTTTGAAGAGGTTTTTTTGATTTATCTATAATTTTTCAATCTTTTATACAAATAAAATTTGTTTTTAGAATAAAAATGCTTTTTTTTCATATAATATTTTTAGTTCATTAAGATCACAACCTGTATTAGAGGTTTGACAAGTTAAACCATAAATCTAAAGCTATTTTTTTGAATTTACATATCGATTAATATCACTCACTTGTGTTTTTTTTATCTACTTATTTAATTTTTTATAGAGATATTTTTGTAAATTATTTTATATGTATTTAATTTTTGAATAAATTATTCTAATTTATTTATATTTTTTTTCATCTGTTATTTAGATGAACTTTCCTTTATGAGTTCTAATGAGTAAGAAATATCACCTAGAGTAAGAAATGCTATTATTTAGGTGGAAGCTACATGAGCATTATTATTTAGGTTTATGTAAAATGTTAAATAATTCAAGATATAATTTTTACTAATTAGTTGAGTAAATATAATAATATTTCATTAAGAAAAATTTAAAGCTAAATATTACTTATTTTAATGCAGTAATCTATCAAGTTATTATAACTATATGAATCTTCAAGTCTTTGTATATTGATAAGATAATTTTCATTAATGAGAAGAATTGTTAGAAATTTGTTTTAAAAAATGGTTTATATATATATATATGTGTGTGTGTGTGTTTTTGAGTTCAAATTAAAAGTAGAGTCTATTTATTTTTAGTGTTAAGTTTTTTTAGGAAATTATTCTTTAATAAAAGTATTATAATACAAAACATTAACTTGTTTAAAATAAATCATGTGTGACAGAAATATTAATTTTAGAAAACTCTTAATTAATATATTTTATAAACTCAAGAACTCTCAATTAATATTACAAGATTTTCATATAGCTTATATTATAAAAACTTAAAGAGTTGACATTAGTTCCATGAAGTTGACATTAGTTCCATGAAGCACCAGTAGTTTAAGAGAAGGTAGGCATTAGGTTAAGTAGGCTTTGGAATCAAGCCATATGTGCATGCTCCCTTGGCTTGGGTTTAGGTAAAATAATATTTCGGTTCGTAAGGAATTTGTTTTTTTTTTTTTTTGTTACACCTGGAAACTCTTATTACTAAAATAATATTTATTTTTGATAAACTCAAGTTAATAATAATTAACGCATGCCTGGCAACGACCTTGGTCACGTACTTGTCCAAAATTTAAAACTTTAATTTTTAATTTTTAATTTAATTATTTGATAATAAAAAATATTCATAACAAATAAAAAACAGTATAATGATTTTTTTTAAATGATAAAATTATTATTTTATTAATTCAATTCACAAGATTTTGTCTTGCTGTCTATTTAATATTGTGGGGAAGGGTGATGTTTAAAAGTATTTTTTTAAAAAAATATATTAAAATAATTTGTTTTTTATATAAATATATCAAAATCATTGAAAAACTTTTAAAAAATCAATTCAATGTATTTTCAAGCCAACTGCATTTTTAAAATACACCGAATATCTGTTTAGTAATATGTTTTCAGTTGCTCTTGAGTACATTTTAAAAATGCGTTTCTTTTGAAAAAGCATGAAGTTAATGTTTTTTAGTGATTTTAATAATTTTAATATATTAATATACAAATAATAATAAAACACTTTAATTTACTTACAACTAAAATATAATTTTAAAAATTATTATATATTATAACGATAATGATAGGTTTATTTATTTTTATATTTTAAAATTATTTTTTAAAAAAATATTATTTTTTAAATTTAAAATTATTTTAATATAATAATATCTTTTATGTCTCTGACAATATCATTATCCTCTCATAATTGTTTTTTTTTTTTTTGAGGGTACAATTGCAAACTCCCGGTAATTATTTGCAAGACATTGAAAGGTTGGTTGTTCACAAATTTGATTTACGGTGAAAAATCATAAAGACAAAGGGGGTATTGCCAATCATGTCACCTGCAGCAGGTATCAAATTTGATGCCTCTCAAGATCGTCCTTCCGGTGGCAAATTTGTCTTTTGACAGTAATCTTCTCGATCACAACTAGCCAGGACGTGTCCAGATCACAGCCCCTCAGTGTCGTTTTCCCAGCTTTTTAGTTCAAAGATAATCCGATAAGACTCACAAGTGTCTTAAACTTTTTGGGCAATTGA